AGACTACATTTTTTAAAAATCAACTTAGCTGCCTTTACCTTAAATTCATTCTTGTCCTGCAGGTCTGAAGTAAATAGCCGTAACTTCCTATCAGAAGCAGCAGTACAAAACCTATACTCACAGACAAAGAAAAGCCCTTCAGTCAATTAACACTGCAATAGCTGACTTTTTATCAGTTTCCCTTCAGTTTAAACCTGCAAAGTGACATGCAAAGGAAAACTCAGATGTTGAAAAAAAGCAAAAGCTTTTATCTTAACTTTTCGGCTTTGGCAACAAACAGAATAATCAGAACTTATCAATAAAATAGTGTGTATCAAGTGCCAAGAATATTTTTTCATGGAAGTAAATGCAAAATATTTTACAAAGCTAAATCTGAATCAACTGTCAATTACTTGAAATATCCCTCGCAGCTGCCATTGAAACTTTCCTTGGAAGAAGTGGCAGAGCACAAAAAAGGGAACATAAACTCACAAATCAAATGCTAACATATTTTAAACAAAAGACTGTACAAAAATGTAGCAGTAAGCAATCACCAGAATTTTGAAGAGGCTTACAAGATACTGAGAACATTTTAATTCTTACGTGCATATATAACAGTTAACTATCTTTCTAGATTTACACCTCAATGGGTCTCACAAATAGCATCTGACCTATTCCTAGACACAGCCCATGCTATGCAGACCATTACAAAGAGCTTTATAAAGCAGGCCATTATAATAGTCTCATCCTTAGTAAAGTTCTTAAAAGATTTCCTTCTTCACAGATGTGCAAAGAAAGAATGAACTACATTGTTGTTCTACTGAAGTGTTCAAAGACTTTGTCAGTGATTTCTAAAGAGTTAGATTTCACCCATAAGATTTAAACTTAGTCTAATATTATGGAATTAGGGAAAAGAGATGAGAGGCAAGGATTCATTGTACTAATTTATTATAAATACCTTATCTGGGGAGGTAAAGCATCAAGTCTAGTTTCTGGACTCCATGCTATGGCATCAACTCGGATTCCATGATGGAACGTTCTTAGTGCCTTATATTGCATGCCTTCTACTTCCGCATCCTCCTCCTGCAGAAATACTGTCATTAGCTAATCCAGAACATCTTGATGAATTCTAACAAATCAGATTGATATTAAATTGAAAGGCTTTCAAAATTACATGTTTCTGAGATCTTTTTAGATTGTAACACCCTCAAAGTGAAAACCCGGTACGTAAAGAAAGTATTAACTTTAAATACCTAAGTACTTAAAAATACATTAAATGATTACAGTCTTAAGCCAGAGGCCAATGTAGAGCACAAAAATCAAAACTGACTTACAAAGACAGAGAGCCCATTCTTGGTACAAGTGCTATCTTCACAGATAGAACTAAAACCACTTATAACAGTATGTTAAGTAAGTACACACTGCAAGAAGAAACAACGGGAACAAAAGCAAGCACATCTTTTAACTTACCTTTTCTCCAAATTGTTTTATACCATGGAAAAATGCTAGCATTTCCAGAACAAAATTCTTCTAACAGCAAGAGCTAGAAAGGTACCCTCTGGCATCTAACATGACCCAAATTACTAACTTGTCTATTCTTCCCACTGGTGAAAACACTGAATGGTGGGAAAGGTGAAGCAACGGTTGAGGTTGCAGACTCGGTCAATCAGTTGACCTCTAAAAAACTTTTAAGTTTTCAAAACATCTAATGGAGCTCCTTAAAGGGTTTTTCTACAAAACCTTCTTTATGCCACAATTCTGCTTTAAGGTAAAGAACCTCTCTGTATGCCCTCTGGATAATGTAGAGGCTAGAAAGAACCTAGCTGAGGAAGCATTAAACTATCCAGAGTTTTTCAATGCTTCTTGAAGCAAGGAGCAAGAATAGCATTTTCTTCCCCTACTATGAAATATTAAATGGCTCCACATGTGGAAGGGAAGGGAATATATGAAAATGATAGAAAAACTACCTTGTACCAGTGGTTGTCAAAATTTTAATTAGCATTTTTTTTAAGGCCTGCACTACCACTTAGAAACAAGATAGAGGGCAATACAAATGACAACAGGTTTTTGTGGTTATTCAGGTGCTATTCAGAAAACTTCCAACAGCAAGACTTTGGGGAATGATAAAAGACTAGTTATGCTGTCAATTATACTAGATAAAGTACAAAAATAATACTGTGTAACAGAGAAGTGAGTTAGTTGAAGAGAAAAAGCTTAAAAATAGATTCCAAAGACAGCAGTTGTCTCCTATTGATTTTTAGGCATGTAGGCAAAAAACCCCCAAAAAACTACTTAAAAAAAATGACACATTATAGAAGTATACAGTACACAGTATTTTACATTTTAAAAACTTTCATAATATGATGACTAAATAATTTAAAGGAAGAAAACATATTTTACTGCTTCTAAGAGTCTGTGAGAGAGATCCAATCACAACTGGGAAAGGAAAAAAAAATAATTATTCCTACAGTCCTTCCTTAAAAGAAGCATCTATAAAATTAACAGACACTTTAGTTGTAAAATTGAAAGTAGTTGTAGTATTTGCTCTTTCACAGTCTAGCTGAAAGGTTTAGAAGGCAATTTAGTATCTAAATAGCAAATGTACATTGAACAAAATAGAACTGTGCAGAAAAGGAGCTTATTACCCTGTGATGATAAAGAACAATGTACAGCAACTATTAAGTCACATATTTCCAAAGTTGTGTGCTTAAGTTCTCAGGTAGCAGACACCAACACTAGGAAGAGACACTAAAATGGGATTACTCTTCTTGTAGATTACTCCTGTTTTCCTTGCAGTCTATTCAGGGAGCGCAGTGATAGGACAAAAGGTAATGGTATTAAACTGAAAGAGGGTAGATTTAGATTAGATATAAGGAAGGAATTCTTTACTTTGAGGTGGTGAGACACTGGCAGAGGTTGCCCAGAGCAGCTGTGGCTGCCCCCTCCCTGGAAGGGTTCAAGGCCAGGTTGGACGGGGCTGGGAGCCCCCTGGGCTGAGGGAAGGGGGCCCTGCCCGGGGCAGGGGAGTTGGAATTAGATGATCATTAAGATCCCTTCCAACACAAACTGTTCTATGACTCTATTCAAAATGAACTCCATACCAGCAGGATGGTAAGTTATACCAATGTGTATTTTATACACACCCACACACACACATATATATTTTTTTTTTCTTGAAGAACAAATATACCAGACTTGTTAATGTAATAAGCAAGTAAAACCCTTCCTTGATTACATGGGGAGTGGAGGAAACAAGAAAGAGACCAGGGTCTTTGTGCAGTAGAGGTGCTAGCAAAGTAAGTTTCAGGAAGCAACTAAGAAAAATTAACAATAACACAAACTAACCTGAAATCTGCATGTCCCAACAACTACGTAATTATTGCCACCATACGCAATGAGGGAACATGCATCTCCACTATCAAATGGATTGAATTTTACCACATGCACATAATCTTCACAATCCACAGTGTAAGCAATGTTTCTAGTAGAATCTTGCTTCATTTTCAGTGGACTAAGTCACAGCATCATGGAAGTGATATCTTCACCAGGATGAAAATCTACATTCCTACATAGAAAGTTTTAAAAAGCATGTATTACTCATTTGCATTAAGAAAAAGTAATAAAGGTATTTGTGGCACAACAAATCAAAATTTCCTGAAACACTGTAACAAAAGCTGCACTTAAGCTCATTATTTTTTGATGCAGCATGCAGTTTCATCAATCAAAAGATTAACTAACTTGAGATACATTCAAAACTGTCTCTACAGACTTCAGCAATAACTGAAAATTTGGTGCTACTGTTGGCAACCTAATGCCAAGACAAGAAATTCAGTAACTGTACACACCAGAAAAATCACATGCAGAATTTTAAAATTTTCAACCAAATCACAGGAAGTGATACATTACTACCTTCAAACTCTGTTTACTTGTGTCCCTCTTTAAAGGCTGTATGTGTCTAACTAAAAGAGAAGTTAATCAAGGCTGCAAAACTGGAAATGAAAATACCATCACGCATAATATTCACAGTTTCATCACTTAAGCCACCCCAACTGTGGACTGAGCACTTGTAACTCTGTACCAAAGAACTTGTAATTTTACTGTATTCAAACAATTTTCAAGAAAATTGGGTTCCTGTGCTGGAACGCAAAAGGCTGAGATACACAAGTCCTTTTAGTCCCTATACAGATGTGAAGCCAGTTTAAGCCCTTCTGGGAAACCAGACCTTTAATTACACATCACATGGAAAACCAGCTCTAAGTCTCAGACCTTTGACTGATTTTGCTCAGTTAATGAACTGAAGGTCTCAGCATCCAAGACTGAGTATTTTGTTTGGGAGCCACCCAGGTTTCACACTGGCATCACTGAGACGCAAAGAGGCTCTCCGTAATTGCAATGTTTATTTATTAATCAACACGACGAACCACCCCATTAACATTAAATACTTCTGCCACATAACTTGTCTAGCTACGCTCCTAAGGCTGAACGAAGATTTTAATCCGATCTGTAGTTTTCTTCCTTTAAGGCTTCCCACGAACTCAGGCCACCAGACTAGCTCCAAGTGAAAATATCAAGAGTACTATTAGCTTCATTCCTTTAGGAAACACGCGTCGGGCAACCGAGCCGTGGGGGTGCCCGTTAACTTCCCCCTCCCTTACCCCCTACCCCCTCCCTTCCCCTCAGGGCCCCGCTGCTACCCCCGAGCGACACTGCCGGGCCCGCAGCGCTACCAGCCCCCGCGCAGGGCGAGGGCCCGGGCTCCCCCCGCACAGCGCCCAGGCCAGCGCGGCTCCTGCGCCGGAGCGGGCGAAGCCCCGAGTTCCCCCTCACCCCGGGACGGGGACGCCCCCGTACCCCCACCTCACACGCACCTCTGCGGCCCCCAAACCGCCCCCACCCCGGCGCCGCTCCTCCCGCCACCGGCCAGCAGCACCTCCCACCCCGGGCGCAGTACCCCTGTGCTTCCGGGTCGCCGGCTCCCACGCTCCAATTGGGCCGCTGCGGAGGGTTTGAATTTAAACCGCCGGGGAGGGCAGTTGCGCGTTTTACCCTCCCGGCCGCGCGTGTCGCCCCACGAGGGAAGCGGGGTGCTTCAGCCGGTCTGGGGCGGGGGGAGGCCCTGAGGTGGCCCCAGGCGGAAGATCTCAGCTGGGGGAGCGGGACGGGCTCCGGCGGTAGCCATGCAGGTAGCGTCGGCCCTTAGGGGTTAGGGTTTGGGGCTTGGTTTGCAGACTCTTCGGCTTGTCGGGGCTCTTCGGTTAGGTGCTCGCTGCCAGTGACAGGCCTTGTCCGTTGGAAGCTCCTATGAGGCGGAGGACAGAGAAACGCCGCCGGAGAAATTTTCCTCTGCCCCGCGCTGACTTGCACCTGCCCGCCTGTTTCGTCCTCTCTGGCCCGCGTGTTTCCTTCACGTCAGTGTGAAATAATAAAGTAAGTTATCCCCCTCAAACATTTCAGAGAGTAAGTAATTGCAGTTGCTGTTACGGTCTTGCTTGTTACCTGACATCTCCTGTTTTCCCTGCCCCTCTCCCACACTTCATCATTTTTCCTGATTGTACCTATCATCAAAAAACCTGTTGCGGACTGTGCCCTATCCAGGTGAAATAAGGGGAGAGGTGGTGGGGGTTTTTTGTTCTGAAAATAAATGTTATGGGTGTTGCTCCCGTACTTTCATCACAGTGTTAGAGAAATGTGTTTCAGGACAGAACAGGTTCAAAGAAGGCAATTTTTTTGATAAGTCTCGTGTGCCTGTGTCTTGATAAATACAAGATGAACAAGCATGAAGTAACCAAATTCAGAACTGATACTGAAACTCCTTGCCAGAGGAAATAGGGGAGATAATGATTTATGGAATGGAGAGGAAAAAAAAAAAGGAAAAAAAGACTGTGTGGGTAACAGAAGTATTTGGAGATGTCTTTGTTAGTAGGTCTTACAAATAGTAAATCTCTTGTTTCCAGGTTTAAAACATTCTGATAGACACTGGTCTGAATATATAGTGAGTGCGGACAGTATAGAAGATGCTGCAGCGTTTAGACTGGCTGCTTTCAGAGAAAAAAGACTGTTATATTTGTGGTAACATTCTTTTATGTTGGCATAATGTACAAAACCAAGTAAGGGGTCTTCACGGGGGCATGTCAGACATAAGCATTTTTAACTCCTGATCTTCATATTTGCTCTGTCACAGTGAGGCAAGTCTCACTAGACTTCTGGTTTAGTAGGAAGGATTTATTTGAAAACCTTCATCTGCAAGAAGATACAATTAGAATTTGCATAGTTTATTGGAAGGGGAAGACAGGCCTAGGCCTCTTGCATAGTCATATTAATTTTTATTTATCTTAATTATTTCTACCTTCTTCTTTAGACAATGATTGCTTCCCAGCAAAAAATTTTAAACTTGATCAAGTGTTTCAGAAGACAATGGCCTTTATTTTCAAACTCTGAAAGGACTACTGTATGTGGAGCAGACTGCATGTTGATGGCATTACAGCTGTCAATGGCTGAAGTCAATAAACAGGTCAGCATTCTTTTGGTATATTCTTGGTACTTAATACATCTCAAACTTGATTCATTTACTGGACTTTCTGCATAGACACCTGCTTGAAATGGCCATTTTGATTACCTCGTTGTTTTAACCGAGGGTCAGATGCATCTAGGCACTTAATATGATTAGGCGCATTGTTGAATCAGGGCTTAGAAAAAGAACTGTAAGACAGGTGGGGGGAGGATGGAAGTGGTTTAAGTGTATATCAGAGTTCAAAACTTTACTATTAAATGCCAGTGTATTCTTCCTCATCATGTAACTTTTGTTTATTTTTACCAAATATTTCTTCTGTGCTGTAGGTTAAGGTGGGAGAACTATGGCATCTATTTTCTGAATGCTCTGAAAATACTTTGGAATGACATGAGAAGATGAGTATAAAATTGATTTGGTATAGGCTGCATGAGTTGTGCTTGCAGCAGTTGATTCTTGGCAGCTGTTTTTCCTGAGGTTCATTGAATGAAGACCTATACATATAAGTTGAGTGTGTAGCCAGTACCAAATATATGGCCTTCTTTGCATGCGTACAAGAAATGTGTCAAATTATGAATAGGAGATGTAACCCTTAAGTGCCTCCATAAGAAGCACTGCAGCTTGTCACAGCTGGAAGGTTGGGTATTAGCAGTCTTCTGAAACACACCAAAAACTGTTGCAATATGCAGTCAGGCCTTTACATGGGTCTCATCTAGTGAGAACAATTGCAATAGTCACTTTCATAACCTAAAGATATCTTTTTATGTCAATAAACGTAGAAAATGAATTACTATTGTTGGAAGACTTACCCAAATATCACATAGCGTATTAAACATGTAATACAAATCTTTAGTTTTAAAAAAACAGACAAACAGAAAACCCCCAAAAAACAAAAAACCCCGAACAATATCAGAAACAACAAAACCAAACCGCCAAACCAACGAAAAACCCTCAAACAGAAAACCTGCCTCAGTTTGTGCAGTCCCTGTTGTATTATTTTCAAAATTACCACTTGTACTGGAAGAAGCTGATATCTTGAAAGAAATATTTCCAGAACTATTCTTTAACCTAACTGAATTCATCACCAGAAAAAGCTTTGTAGTGTAAAATGTACAGAATGGAGGTATCTTGTGTCTAAACATTAAACTGGTTAATTCATTCCCACTGTAACAAACATTACAGCAGAAATATTGGAATCACAAGACTCTACATTTGTACTCCATAGAATGTAATATTTTCCAGCCAGGATCCTGGTGTCCTCACAATACCTGTGTAGCTAAAACTTGAAAATTATTGTACATCAGAACGAACTCTCAGACAACTGATAAAGGATAATAATACAAAACTACCTGTGGAGGCAATCGCTGTCATGGTTTTTTTTGTGATTCTCAAGGGAGAACTACAAATATTTCTCCAAAGCCAGCTCTGGGAACTAAAATATGTTATTCTGTTGGATGCCAAAAATTACAAACATGATAAAGATGATATTTTTGTGGTTCATTGTTACTACTTTTCTAACAGCTTACAGTAAGATTCCTTCCCCTAGAGGTAGCTAGTGTATTCCACTTTCTCATTTTTTTCTCCTCCAGCAAAGGTTTCTTCCCTCTAAAAGTATCTTTTCTTTCAGAAATGATCTAACAAAACTGAAAGCAATAATTTTCAACTCATTTAATTTTGAAATATACTGGCTTTCCTTCAAATGTGAGGAAAGACCAAGTTTCTGATTAGGTCTAATAAGACAAATTAGTAGTATGTATAAACCTTGTCTTCCATATGTGGATTAAAACTATTTTAGTGTTTGCATGTGCTGCCTTTGAGGTTCAATTTCTTCAGTTGGATGTCCATTTTGATATTTATAGTGTTAGAGTAAAATATGGCTATTTTATTTTGTTCAGCACTAAACTTCAAACTAAGATGCAGAGTATTAGTCATGCACATGTCCTTTGTTAATTCTCTGATTTAAGTACATTAATTTTGTATTGTTAACATCTGTACAATAGAAGTCTATTATGATAAAGTCAATTACTGCAAGAAAAATAACTGTACTAACAGACTATTGACTGGCTGGATTAAAACCAAAAACCTGTTCTCTTTATTTAGGAGCCTGGACAATTTTAATGGTTTTGGTGTTTTAACTGTTACCTGTATCTACAGTAGAAATGAAAAATTGCAAAGTTTTTTGGAGAACTCCAAAAAAGTTTAAAAGTCTCAAAATTTCTTGGTCTTAAATTTCACCAAGAATAAGGGTAGCAAACAGTGTGATAAACATTGATCGAATGGAAGGCGTGAAATGGGAGAAAAAAGATCTATGCTTTGAATTCCTCTGAAAATACTTTGTGTTGTAGCACGGTTGTAGCCATATGGCATAAAGACAAGTGGCGTATGATCTGAGGTGAAAGTTAACATGTTTTACCTTGAGTGATTAGTATAGATCTAGGAAAACTTTTAAAGAACCTTTTTTAAGGTTTTAAATAGAAATAAAAATTTTCAGGTTGAAGTTCAGCTGAGGGTAATTGCTTTAAGTTGACTATGTTTGCCTCTGTGGATCAGGAGGAGTAGAAGATAGGTTATTAGAACAAATAATCACTTGTCATTTTCAGACCGTGACTGTTTTAGCTAGTAGTGGGGATAACTGAGACATCATATAAAACAACTGTTTTTCCAGAGTCTGTGAATTTAAATTCTCAGATTTGTCATACATGTTTTCTAAATATCCCTTCTAGTGCTGGGACTGAGACTGAAGGAAAAAGTGCTTCAAAGTTGATTTTAGAAATATATTTTCCTTTTAGAAATTTGTGTTTGTCTCTTTCTGAATCTGGATGAAATCAGTGTTGGCGTGTGGTTTAGTTCTACCCTGTGCTTCCATGAGTGCATTTTGTACACTGTCTGAAGAATATTATGTTTTGTTCAGTATCTTGTATTTCTTGAAATGTTTTCCCAAATCATCTTGTTTCCATGTTGACAAATGAAGAAAAATGCAAAGTTGTTTTACAGCATTACTCCCTTAAGCTATTGTACCCGTCTCCCTTTCTGTCATGAGAGACTCCTACCAACGTTGTATCGGTTTGGTATGTTGTTTGTGACATGATGTGATGATGCTACAGAGAATCATTGTCTTGGCTGTTTTTCAGTATGATCAATTTTTCACAGAATGGTTGAGGTTGGAAGGGACCTCTGGAGATCATCTTGTCCAACTCCTTTCCTCGAGCAGGGCCATTATGTCCAGATGGCTTTTGAATGTCTCCAAGGATGGAGACTCCATAAACTGCCTCAGCAACCTGTGCCAGTGCTCAATCATCCTCAGAGTAAAAAAGTGTTTTCTTATGTTCAGAGCCTCCTGTGTTTGTTTCAGTTTGTGCCCACTGCCTCTGGCCCTGCCACTGGGAACCTTGGAAAAGAGACTGGTTCCATCGTCTTTGCACCCTCCCTTCAGATATTTATATGTATCGACGAGATCCTCCCTGAGCATTCTCTTACCCAGCCTAAACAGCCCCAGCTCTCTCAGCCTTTCCTCCTAGTATGTGAGATGCTCCTGTCCCTTAATCATCTTTGCGGATGATTCACTGGACATTGTTGGACTCTCTCCAGTATGTCAGTGTGTCTCCCTCATACTGAGGAGCCCACATCTGGACATAGTGCTCAGATGTGGTCTCACTGATGCTGAGTAGTCTTCTTGACAAGGGACATGGTTTTTTTTAGAGAAAAGGTTGAGGTAATAAATATTTCACTGGATTTTTTTAAAAACAAGTAATATACCGAGACTGTTCTAATGTCTTTCCCATACCCTGTGTAACCAAATCATAAGTAGTTCAGTTCTTGTTTCTTGTATTTGTATGTTGCTTAACAGCTGGAGTTGTTTTAACTGTGTTAAAACTCTTAAAACTCTTGCTACTTAGATCTTGAGGCATCTTCCTCAGTCCTGTATAATTACCCATGCAAGATATACTGGCGTTTCTCTAAGCTTGGAATATTGGGCTATAACTTCATTGTCTTTGCTTCTGGGAGACTGCAATATAACAACTATCAGATGCTTATGTCTATACTCTTGTGTTTATATGAACCAGTTTTTAAATATGTGCATGGGACTATAAACGTTCAGTAGAATGAGAAACGTTCAAAATGCTGCTTTATACTACTTTAATGTGCTTCATGTACCACAGTTTTGGAACTTCTGTCATGTATGAGAGCATATGCAAGCAATGAAGGCTAAGTAGGACCAGAGGTGACAAGACTACAGAATTTGAGGGCAATGCCAGACAACAATACTGAAGTTTAGGAGTATGCCTGAAAATAATAGAACTAGAGACAACATCTGAGTGGTGGTGAAGCACAACAGCCTTGAACACACGTATTCCAAAAATGGTTAGTGACCATTTATTTGGAGAAGGCAGGAGGGAACATGATATTGCTGAAATAGACATCAGTCTGGTGTTTAAAACAATTTTTTTTTTTTGTCAAAATAGAAGCTGCTTTCCTATGTAGTTAGGCCTAGAAAGCTTGAAATACCTACAAAATACTAAAAAATGGTGTCTTTAGGCAAGAAATGTTGCTACTGGATTTAAGACATTCTGAAATAAGAGTCCAAGGAAGCGTAACATACTGCAATACCAAGAAGTGAACAAACTTCATAATACTTAATTGTTTCTATGCCTATGAAACACAATACTTGCAATGTCTGTCATGGAATGAAAGTATGGAACTTTTTGAACTTCCTTAAGCTGTTAGCCAGTTGGCATATGCCACTGCAAAACATCACGTTATTTTTTAAATTAATTTTAAAGCCAGAGACTCTTGACAAATTGACTGTATAGGTAATAGAATATTCTGTCACATTGAGCACCTGATCATGAGGGCTAATATCTGGAGTTCAATTTTATTTGGATTTAAAATATTTTTGCAGCACTAATATAAACTTTGCTAATCTCTTCAGGTCTTTGGTCTGGTGCAAAAAAGTTTTGATTTATTATATACCATATTGAAGTCATACTATAACTTGGTATTCCTGGAGGATTTTGTTTCAAAAAAAAAAAAAAAAAGTGAGAAGCCAACATTTTCAGTCTTCAACCTACTGCTGTTTTGATCTGTTTGAATTGGATTATAATATGATTACATGTTTAATTTTTTGAGGTGCTGAAATGAAGACAAGTGCTTTTCAGAAAACATTTATGCCACCTTAATATTCTGGTGATTTGTAGAATAGCATGCAAGTTCATAGTGCTGAATTATTGTAACCCATGAACAAATTAGAAGGCAAAAAAAACACTCTGAACGTAATATGCATGAGTACTCTTTCATTTTCACTCCTAGTTCTTTGTCTAGACAGTATCAAAATAGTTGACTTTGAGGACTTTAGAAACATGTATTTGACCAGACCTACTGGGAAAGTTGTGCTAAGTGTGCTAGAACCTGAGGCGGGATCTTTTGGCCTGGAACAACTTAAATTATTAGAATTGCTCCTGACCTGGTTTTGTATTCAGTTGCTACTGGTGTTTGTAGGTAATTATTTTATCCAGGTTAAAGCGGCTTAATGTGAAAATGTGATGAAATAAAATCAAACCTTTCCACTAGGCAGTTACCTGCTGTTATTGCTTTGCTGTGTCAAGGCTTGTCACTCAGTCACAGGGCATTTATATCATGTTACATAATGAATTACATGACTGTATAATACTGCCTTTTTTTTTTGGCTGCCATATACTGGGGAATGCTTTGCTTTAGATACCAGCAGTATGAACCCTTTCCTTGGTGAAAACTGGAAAATTTGCTACAGTTGCAAAATTACTTGTTGCATGTATTCTGAGGTCTAACCCAAATAGAAGGACCACAGTTGAAGTTTAACATCACCAAGTGGGGACTGGTATGTAGATCAAAGAGCAGGGTGTGGACAAAAATGAGGAGCCTAGTTGTGAAAGAGGGCCTAAGAGCAAGTAGTAAGGAAGTCACAGAATTCAGGGGAAAGGGGAAGTGGTTGGTGGTGATGAAGTTGGCATTGAGAGGCTGTGGAGCATGGTAGTGTGGAAAGTTCTGCAATGAACATGTCTATGAGATAACAGAGTTTGTGATGGACATTGGATGAAACACCAAGATATGGGAGCAAAATGAAACCAGGCAGAGAATTTAATGAGGTATGGGTTTGTAGGGAGATTAGCAACTCCTAGCTAGAATTTTGGAAAGGCAGATAACAGTACTGGATTTAAAGTTCAGGGTCAGCGGTCAAGAGATGAAACACATGTTAACAAGTAATTAATGGATAAAAGACCAAATTCTGAATTAGAGGCCAGAAATATGTATGTAATCCTGCATCCCAAGCCCTGTATTTTGTCTCTGTTACCTTTAGCTCAATCTAATTAGTAGCAGAATTCTCTGCCACTATGTATTTTCACTTATATAAGTCTCATCTTAATGCAATTCTTTCTTCATGTCTGTAGCTTGGCTTACAGAGATGGAAACTACTGATTTTCTGGCTTCCTCAGTGTTGCAGTCTTTAACCATTGACAATACAATCATCTTCTTAATTAGAAGCTACAAGAGACAGGCTCAGATTTCTTGCAGTTTCTTGTACCTCCGTACTGAACTGGAAAACTTAATTAAAATGTCTGCTCAGTGAGCTGATTTCCACTCCCCACCTCCTTCTCAACTGTGAGTCACTTGGTTAAAAAACAGTACCTCAAGGAAAGTAAAAAAGACAAGGTCAGGAATTAAACAAATAGGATTATGTATTGTACCTAATTATTTATTTCTTAGAGTGCATCAATAGCTTCTCTCTCCTCTGGCGTCTTACTGATACAACCGGATGGGAGCTGGCTTGCATCCTACATCCTTCAGTAGCACATCACTTGGTTTGTGACTCAAATAACAGGGCTTTGTCACTTACTTAGCTTGTTTTAAAATTGCTTTGAATTCCAGCTCCACTGTCTGTCCCTATCTGCTGTGATGCTTTCACCTTTTTGTCATTTGTGTCCTGATGCCAATACTTGTAACCTTCCAATATGCCAGGTTTGCTAACAGCTTTGGTTCTTTAGTTACTTCTGCTTCATAAATGAGATTACATGTAGCGTTATGGACCACATACAGTATCTCGTATTTAGTCTTTTTTATTCTCCCATGTAGAGATAACTTGTAAAGAAAAGTTTATTCCCTTTTTTCATTTTAGTTTAGAACCGCACAACAAAACTGTAAGCTTATTACTTTACAATTAAGTGTTCGCTCCTCTGAAAAGTGCTTAGACACAATTACTTGATACACTCCTACATATAAATGTAGTAATAGCAGACGTCCCACTTTGTAAACCCTTTGAAAGAAATGTGCTAAACTAATATGTAAATTAAACATGATTTTAGTAATTGCTGTTGATACGTTTTTCTGCTTCTGTCCACCAAAGGTCAACAGAGCACTCGTCTCAAGAGTTGAAAAGAAGAAAGGGATTCTAACTGATAGAAGTTACTTTGTGATAAATTTGAATTTTCTTTTTGTGCCCAGCGTAGAAGGAGATTCTTCAGTTGCTAATAATGCTGCTAGTTATTTTGCTATCCATATATTTGTTGTCATTTACCCACTTGATCTGGTCTTTTAAATTAACTGTCTGTTAATCTCTATTAATTCTGCTAATTTTCTGATAAACTCTAATTATTTCTTCCCTTTTGGATGTTGGAGAGAAGGCAGAGGGGAACATGGAATGTAATCTAAGAATTTTGTCAGGGAGAATGAGCCCGAAGCTGGATATAAGATTGTAGCCTATACTGTATAGTGACCATCAGTTATGGCACTAGTACTGGATAGGTATGCATTGCTTTCATGTATTTGTTAGATCTGTGTAGCAACACTACCGATGTTATGCTAAAGTATAACTGTACTAACACAGGGAAAAAAAGGCACTTGGGTTTTTTTTTTTTTTTTTTTGGACGTGTCATATGTTTTCCCAGATTATTGCTTGAAGCAAGGTAATAGGGCTATATTTATTGCCTTTGGGATGTAAATGCCTGCCATCCTGAAAACTACTACTGCAAATAAATACATTTGTGTAAGCAGTAGCCCTATCAAAGTCAGTGTGTCTTATGAGTAAAGTTCAATATATACCTGGTATTTTAAAGATCAGGAACAAATACTGTATATAACAAAACTCAACTGTAAAGGCAAAGTACTGCAAGAACTTCAACTATAAGTAAGACTTTGTTTATTATAGACTAAATATATATAAAAGCTATTATAATCTAAATATATATGCAGCTTGTTTGAAAGTTATTTTTAAAGCTATGCTGAATAAAAAACATAGTATTTTTGCTTTTCTCTGTTCTGTTAGCACCGTGGAGATTTCACAGCATCTCTTAGTGATGTGTTAGAAACTTGGAAATATTTGTTACATGATAAACTGGGTTTATCATATGAAAACATGAAAGAACCTGAAAATTATGCTGATCTAAAAAAAGCCTATCATGCCTTCTTAGCAAGAAGCAATATGTTAGATCTAATAGACATATGCCAGAAGTGTTATGGTCTTGGACTTGCATCTGAAGATGAAAACGTAACGCTTGTAAGTATTGTTTGTTTGATCTCTGATATTGTTTTGACATACTTTTGATTCCAGTTATGGATTTATGACACTTCTAAATATACACACGAGCGCTAATTATTCACAAGTTACTTTGTTCTTCTATTGGGGAAGCAGATGAGTTTAAATTACAAAATCTTCTAAAGAGATCATAAATTCACTCAAAAGTTACTTTTCTGTTGTCCTGTTGGAATGGTGGGGTCCCACAGCTCTTCTGTAAGTATATCACTCTTTGCCCGAAATGGAACTGAAATATGAACTGTAGAGATTTGATAAAACTGGAACAAAGCTTAGTGATTAACATGTGTCATGGAGTTTTGGTTATATGTTGATATGTAGTCAAAATACTTTTAATGGTTGTCATTTTTTAAATGCTGAAAACTTCCCTATACTACATGTAGTTCCATGTTAGATTTTTCCAGAAACCAGAAGAGGTTCCGCTTCAGCCACTCAGCAGCTCTGTTGCAGTTTATTGCAGCTCAGATGTTCTTATGATGCTGCATGAGGCCATGCTGTAGGCTAGAGAAGTTCTAGTGTGTATTGCACTCTTAGACTGTAAAAGTATGAAAAATGGTTTTGATTAATTTCTATTAATCTTTATTTATCCAATAACAGGATAAAAATATATGTAAGTAGCAATTAAGATAAGCTTGAAAATTAAATTCCACATGATTTTATTTGATTCTGTGCTCTCTGGAGTGTGCAAATGTCAAAAGACAGAGGATATTGATACTGAAAAAATTAATGAAAGTTGAGTTTACATGTGCATACTTCAAGCTTGTAATAAAAATTAGAGAGGAGTTAATTGTCTGCTTCTACTGCCCGCTGTCAGCATTGCAGACTTTTAAACAAACTTCTTTTTATTTCACCTTCTGAATTATCTGATCATTTTAATATAAGGGAAACTATATCAGTAACTGAACATTAATTGAACTGAGGTATATTATGAACATACCATGAGTTACTAATTACTGCATGATTAAAACTGGTTACCTTCCAACCCTAGTAAGAACAAAGATCTTTCCCCATGAAAAAGTGGTCAAATACTGGAACCGGTTGCCCAGAGATGATGTGGAATCTCATCTTTGGAGACATTAAAAACTTGGTTCAGCATGTCACTGAGCAACCTGGTCAAACTGGTCCTGCTTCAAGCATGGGTTTGTATTAGATGATCTCTATAGGTCCCTTTTAACCTAATTTATTGTATGACAACTATGCTTCTAACCAGCTTGACTATTTCCTTAAAGGTTCTGAGACCCTACATTCAAACACTCATGTGATTATTAAGCAGAAAAGAGATTATAAGGAGAACTGAAGTTCAGGAAGGGCATAAAAACTGTGATTTTTGAGAATATTTTTTTTTCTTCCTGTTTTCATGGGGAAGATGGAGAACTTGGGTTGGTTAATGAACTCTTCCTAAACATGGTAGATCCTATTAAATGTTCTCCAAAACATAAGCAGCTGCTTTTATTGCAAGTATATTACATAACTTTTTGAGATATCTTTTCTAAGTTAATTTGAATTTTACACCTCATTTCTCTACTAAAACAGATGTACTATTAAAGTGTAAAACAAAAGTAGGTTGTAAGGGCTGAGTTTACCTCAAAACACTATCAAACTGGTGGAAACATAGTTTCACATGGTTTTAATACTACTTTTTCTTTCTATTCATCTTCATATTTAAGATTATCCTAATATTTTTATTAAAGGTTCAACTGTTGGAATTTATTTCTGGCATAATAAATGTACAAGAAAATAATGGCTCTGTTCTTTCTACTCCTTCTACACCAGTCAACAGACTGGGCCAGGAGAATGTGAAGGTAAAAATTAGTCTCTTCCCTAATGTTCTACGTATATATTGAAAAGATGAAACATAACATAGTTTCCTTTTCCAAGAATTGGTATTAAAATTTTGCTGGTTTAAAAAATCATAAAACGTGTATTCAAACTCTGTATCACTGGAGTATATTGTAGGGGTGCATATGGGGCTAAGTGCAGAAATGTATATTCTGGAAGACCGTCCTTTTACGGCAGGCACATGACTTAATCTGCCTTGAAACACCAGGAAATACATTTTTCTACAAGTACACCATCACTCAAACATTATCTTGACTAAGAGTTAAATGATTTGCCCAGTGCTGCAAAGTGAAGTGGTAGGTGAAGTAAACTTCTTCTGTTTCATTTTATTAGCTCGTACTCCCTTCCCTATAGAAGAAATCTGAATAGCCACTGTAGTGGTAGCTGTAGCAAAGCAAACAAGGTTTGTTGGTCCCAGTAAGGGACCTGGGGACTTTCTGGGAATACTCCATTCTTTCCTTTTACCCTTTCAACCCCCAGAACAAGAGTCTCAGTATACTTTATAACAGTGCTTGAAATGCCAGAGCTTTTGTAATTTCCAAACTTGCTTTTCTTGTAAGTGGTAATTTCAATTCAGTATTTGGGTACAACTCAGAATATTTCTGAGCAATAAAATATTTTCTGAACTAAGGTTCTTCCACAGATAGCACTTCTACCACTACCACAGTGGCCTTCCTGCTGCTCTGACTTGGTCTTTTTTCCTCCTCTTCAATCTGTCTTTTCAGACTGTCACATGTACACGTTTCATTTGTTTTACTGCTTCCATTTTTGTTGTATACATCCCATTGAGTAAGAAGAAATTCCATAGCAAATGTAGGTTTTCTCATTATCTTTCTTTTTATTAATGGCCTTTTTTTTTTGCCTTTTCTTTGCTTGGGACAAAACTGTAAACTTTTCAGTTCTGGGATTGTTGTTCTTACAGGGTTCAGAACAGTGCTGCAATTTAATCAATTACAATGTTACTTTTTGGTTGTGTGGGTGGAGCTGTGTCACAATTTATGTCCAAACTCAATCAGTGGAGTTTCTGTGATTGAAATCCTTGGAGCCAGGGGAAAAATTACTGATTCTGTCACAGAGCTGATGAGTTGTTTAAAATCTTAGCCTGCCTGAAGTTAATGACAAATCCTTATGTGGTTTAGTAGCGCTAGTATTTTGCTTTGGGATAGAAAAGGAATATCTGTGAAGAGGTTTCAAAGCCAATTTTAATAGCTACAGATCCAACCCTCAAATATTTTGTGAATATTCAAGTACAGCAGGTGTGACTTTAACATATTAATCATGCTTGCTTTTCTCAATACTCCCAGAATCCCCATACATAAAGTAGCATTTTGAAATGATGCAAGGTGAAATTTCTACTTTACCAAAAATCATATCAGTACATATCTAATTAGCTTTTTTTTTTTTTTTAAAAAAAAAGGAACAGAATTTAGCAGTGGGATGAACAATTTGTGTGATGTTTTCTTATGCAGGTGACAATCCTGGCAAAGAAGTGCGTGTGTTCATATTTAAGCCTGTTGGTAAATTCTAAGGATGATCTGGCATTGGCTCATATTCTAAATGTTCCTGACAGAGGACTTGGTAGAGAAGCCTTCACTAAGCTAAAACATGCCTCACGGAAGAGAGAAATGTCCATTTTCCTGGTATGTGTGTCAAATGAAACTAGTTGTAGGTCAGAGGCAATGAGACAGATCTATAAGCAGAAAAATATTGCTTTATAACAGATTATATGTGAAGAAATGGGTACTTGCTTGGTCATGAGATAAAGATGCACAGAAAAATAATTGTGTTCATGTGTACCTCTGGAGCTCTGAAATGTGATATCGTAAAAATGCATTGCGACTGTTCATCCCAAACAGTGACTGAAATCCTGAAAAAGTTTACTATCTTAAATGTGAATATAAGATATGATTTTTATTATTGTTTTTAAATTTTTGAAATCTTAGTAAATAGTGTGAAGTAATGTAATGAGTATGCATATCAAAGAAAAGATAGAGGAAGAAAAGATGGCATTAGACTGGATGTTGCTGCTTACTAAATACCTCTAAAAGCAATTGTGGTGGGCTGACCCTGGCTGGACACCGGGTGCCCACCAAAGCCGCTCTGTCACTCCCCTCCTCAGCTGGACAGGGGAGAGAAAATATAACGCAAGGCTTGTGGGTGGAGAGAAGGACAGGGAGAGGTAATTCACCAGTTACTGTCACGGGCAAAACAGACTTGACTTGAGGAAAAATTGGTTTAATTTATTACCAATCGCATCAGGGTAGGATAATGAGAAATAAAAGCTAAATCTTAAAACACCTTGCCCCCACTCTTCCCTTCTTCCCGGGCTCAACTTCACTCCTGATTTTCTCTACCTCCCCCCCAACAGCAGCGCAGGGGGGCGTGGAATGGGGGTTGCAACCAGTTCATCGCATGTCGTTCCGACTCCTTCCTCCTCAGGGGGAGGACTCCCCACACTTCCCCTGCTCCAGTGTGGGGTCCCTCCCACAGGAGACAGTCCTCCACAAACTTCTCTAGTATGAGCCCTTCCCACAGGCTGCAGTTCTTCATGAACTGCCCCACAGTGGGTCCCCCCCGGGGTCACAAGTCCTGCCAGCAAACCTGCTCCAGCCTGGGCTCCTCTCTCCGTGGGGCCACAGGTCCTGCCAGGAGCCCGCTCCAGCCTGGGGTCACAGCCTCCTTTGGGCACCCACCCGCTCTGGTGTGGGGTCCCCCACGGGCTGCAGGTGCAGATCTGCTCCCCTGTGGAGCTCCGTGGGCTGTGGGGGGACAGCCTGCCTCACCATGGTCTTCACCACGGCATCTCTGCTCCAGCGCCTGGAGCACCTCCTCCCCTCCTTCTTCCCTCACCTGCGTGTCTGCAGAATTTTTTCATTCATTCTCACTCTTCTCTTTTCTGGTTGCACTATGACAATGAGGTTGGGTTAAATAAATATCACATAGCTGTATTAACATTAACAAAACCAAGCCACTAACAATTCATTACAGTGCATTTCAGTTTCAAAGGGCTGTAAGAATTTTGGTTAAATAGTAAACCAGCATTTTTCTCTGCATTTATTAAACTTGAGACATCTGGAACCTAAAGTATTTCTGTGTACAAATTGCTTTTCTTAGAGCAACCTCGTGACAAAACCCTGCCTTTAACACGTACTCTAGAATAGAGGCCAAAATGTGAAAGGGCCGTTTTTTCATCTTTGATTCAACTTGGGGAGGGTCGTGCTTTCCAGTCATTTACAGCTTGATCAGTCTTGAAATACTCTTCAAGATGTGATTTGTATGGGACATTCCTGTTCCTTTTATTCTTAAAGGCACAAAGGTAGAAAAAACCCCTTGAGACAGTGGTATATTCTTTCCCCAATGACCTTGCATAGAAGTATAAAAAGCTGCAGCATCAATGTGCAGTGCTCACATAGGCTCGTTGCTAAAGAATCTAGTTTGGTATGTGAGGTGCATTTATACTTATAGTAGTTATAATCAGCACGGGGCCATCTCCAAAATAGATGGAATAAGATGAGTAAGAATTCTTTCTCCAAAGAACCACTGTAGTCCCTCATATTCAAAATAATCAAATTTTGCATGCACAGTGGTCTCGGTGCAGACAACAGCAGATCAAGAGAAAACAGTATGGGTATGTAACAGCGAAGCAGCTGCATTCTCAAATTCTTATGGTTGCATAAATACGGAAAATTTGTGAAATCTCACTTCCAATATTAATTATTTTAGCTCCCAATGCTCTGTTAATGTTGTATTAAAAAAAAAAAAATGTGTTTGAACTGGATTTATTACCTCTTCATCATAGTTGCTAGAGGGGAAACTTCTCTACCATGTAAAGAAGTCTTTTCTGGCATCTGTGTCTTGAAGAAGTCTTGCAAAGCCAGAATATTTTCCATTGGGAAGGCAAGGTCCTATGAACTGTACTTGATCCACAGGAAATCTTTAGCACAGAGGCAGGAATACTGGCAGGCTTACATTCTTTGCTAGAGTAATTCCAGTTGTACTCTTTCCAGTCCTAAGAGCTTTATGATTTAACTGTATAGTCTGAAATTTAAATTTATATGTAGAATTATTATTACTGCATCTGTGTCAAGCGTATTGGATGGTTATCTTTACTTTCACCTTTCTGGGGAACTGCTAAGCTTTTTATTCTGACTGTTGCCTTAAAATTTGAGAGGTTATCCTCTAAGGCCTACTACTTTTGGGACATCTATTGTTTTCAGTGTCTTTACAGCATATAAAAATACAGAAACTTTTAGAATTGGCTACCTGTGAAGATAGAAGCCTTAACTGTCATAATTTTTCAGAAGCTTTGAGTATACGTTATTTCTATTTCATCTCTGAGAATAAAAGTACTGCTGAAGTCAACTTTTACATGCTTATGCTAAAATTGTTTTGGGGTCATAGACAGCCCTCTGAATATAGGAGTAGTTTTTGTGTCGTCATGACAAGCATTTAAACAGCAGCAACAACAAAAAAAGTTCTGTAACCAGTGTAAATAAAGTTTTTCCTAAGCTGTTAAAAGGCCAATGTAAATATCAAATTAGCTGGGTCATTTTTCTTTTGGCTTGTGGTTTTTTTTTTTTTTTTTTGTTTGTTTGTTTGTTTGGGTTTTTTTTATACTGCTCCACTATTTAAGTATTGATATTGCAGACATGGTGAGATGTACAAAGTTTGACATTAAGAGGTATTCTATTGATTTCAGTTAAATTGTTTCAGCTATTAACGAGCTGTTATACCCTGTTTGCAAATCTTTAGGAGAGGCTCTCTGCAACATGCATACATTTTGCGTATGTCTAGAGTTTCATATTTCTGAACATTTCTCTTAATAGATGGCAACATCTTTTATCCGAACCATAGAACTTGGAGGAAGAGGCTGTGCATCTTCACTATTTGATCCTTTAAGAGTCCATGTAAAGGGGCTTTCAAACTTTGTTAATTTTATTGACAAGCTGCAAGAAATTGTTGGTGAAATCTTAAATCCAAGGTAACAAAATTTCTATTATATTTTTGTCTTGTTAAGCATCTTTTTTTCTTGTCCGTGTGTTTTGAAGAGGAACAAAAGAAAATCTATTAATTTACTTAATAATTCAGAGTAAATGTTTACAACTTAAACCTTATTAGAAAATACAAATATTTGAAAAACAATTGGGGTAATCTTAAAGATTTTTGAGGTTATTGTTTGTATTAAAGTTTTATCAAATCAATGTATGCATGGCTATTTGGTTAGTTCCCTAGTTGTAAATGAACTTCTAAAGATTTCAATCTTGTGGGTCTGATAAGTACATAAACTGATATGTGCTTTACTTCTTTCTTGTTCATTACTTCCTTTTTGTCAATTTATTGTATATGCCTTTATATAAAGGAGTCTTTACTGCTGCTGACAAGTGACATTGGTAATTTAGCCTCTCTCTCTTCTTTTTAACTATATAAGCAAAGCATAAGAACTGTTTCTTAGGAAGGCGCAGTGAAGTCATTGATTTTTAATGGTTTTTAAGACCTGAAGTTAGTGTTTTGGGCAGGATTATAAATGTGAGATTAATTAGAGAGAAGTAAGAGCAATTTTCTTAAGCATTATATAAGTTAGTAATTTTTTTTTCATTTGTAATCAGTCATTTTTCTATACAAAACTTTAGGAAATCAGCTGTAATAGTTCTATCCTTGATACTAAAGGATCTTTTTTTAGTTTGAATTGAGTCTAATCCACACAACTGAAAGCAAAATGTTGTAAGCAAACCATAAGCATTATTTAAATTACTGTTCAGATTGCACTGAAACTGGAAGTGGGAAGTATTTCTGAAGTTGTTTTGCAGTTTTTGTTTTACTTTTTAATTCTGATTTTTTGTTCTTTCATTTCAACATCTTGGATGCCAGAGACTTGTTGTCTGTGATGGTGATTAAAGAAAAGTTTTGACTCAACATCTAATATATGCTTTTTTCTTTATTTATGCCATATCTGGCACTGTACATTGATAAAAAGAAGTGGGAAAACATTATTGTGCATGAACGTACTTTTTAGGGTGGAAAGACTACTTTTTCAGATATATGCACTTCAGCAAAGTGTAACATAAGATGCTACATCTTAATTAGCATTCTGTTTAAGGCATGTGAGAAAAATCAGAGTGGGATAGTTGCTGGGAATCGTCAGTTTCTGATTGAGAGAGTTCCCTAGAGCTTGGAAATTCTTTTCAGCATTCAGCTATTTATTCTGCCGCTTTCTCTGCTGTACCTGCTGTGCCACTTATTCTGGGCTATAAATCTTCTTAACGTCAGATTCTGGTGTGTTCGTTAGGTTACATGTATACATGTGGGTGTTGGCTGTATCACTGACCAAGAATGGAAGCTAGCTGTACTGTGGTGTTTCTAGTATCTCTTGTACTCTGTATGGGCATTATAACCTCACGATGTAAAATACTGCTATTGTTTTTATATATGTATCGATATAGTAGCTCAGCGCTGATAGAAACATACCAATCGGTTGGCTGTCTTTGAAAGAATCTTCATTAGTATGCTGAAGTTCTCAAACATTATAAGACTAGTATACAGCTTAGAAACTGTAAGGGTCCACTCTTGGTGAACAAAACGATATTTTTCTTAAGTGTTTGATAAGCCACATGAGCGAGGATGTCTGTATGCCCTGCCTGTGACAGTTATGAATTCCAGAAGATGCAGTTTTACACAAGTAATTTCTCTAGTTCTGTTACTACTGCAATCTAAAGAGCAGAGGAAAAAAAGTAACAATTCAGCAAATGTTTCAGTTGCTTTTTCTTTAGAAGCCTGCTGAGAAATTAAAGATCAAACTGGAGAACCTATCTGTGGTATTGCTGTTTCTCTGATGTAGAGATTAGCTAAGATGCAAAAAACAGGTCTCAATATTTACTATGCCCCAAGAAAAAAATGCAGTACTTTTTGGTTGTTTACTTAATAATTAGAAGTCTGTTATTTCAGTTTCATCTTGTTACAGTGGAGATCTTAAACTTGAACTTGCATAAAATACAAAGTAGTCAAATAAATGCCAGTTCATTGTGGAACACATGTTGAAAAGAGGCTTTCTTCATCTGCCTGAGTCAAGCTTCTTTACTTTGGAAACCTAGAAACTGAATTGAAGATGTTGGACAGTGATGGGATGTACTTAAGAATATTATGAACATAGTAGGAAATGTGGTGCAACCATGTATCTCCTACCCTATGGAGAATAACAAAATTGTGTTTCTCATCCCCAAGTCATTTGGCTAAGGAAGTGAAAGGTCTATGAGATAGGGAAGGGAAAGCTGTCAGAGTGGAAATTTAATGAAACTATGATGATTTGATTCAAATATGGCACAAAGTGGAAGCAGAACTGATAGCAGGAGAAATGGAAGGACACAATGAACTTTTAGTTTCAAGGTGTGTTCATGGAGCAGAACAAACATTCTTCCAAAATCTCTAGAATTCTGAAATTGTTCAAGTTTGCCTCTCCTCATTTGCCAGATGTCTAAGATTAGAAGAAATCACTAATCTTAAAATAATCAGTAACATGAATATTCCTTAAAGTTTAGGGATGCTGTAAAACTTGTGACCCTAAAACTATTTACAGATTCTGTACATATAAGGCTTGGACAATGTTTATACAGTAAAATAGAGAGCATAGATGTTCTACTGTTCATGCCCGATTCTTGACAAGAAACATCAATGTTGTATTTGTCAGTGAAGTGGATGATTATTATACACCTAGGAATCTGGACACTCTTTACTGTTGGTATAAATGAAAACGTTAAGTACTAATCCATCGTTCTGGAAATCCTTCTCTCTTAGACCAGACAATAATGCTTCTTGCATCTGGAAAGAACTTACTGGATTTCTGGAATAATTTTTTCCAAGTTCATAAAACATGTGTGTGACTTAAAGCTGAATGATGGAAAGGTGTTTGTCTTATTGGTCACTGCACTTGTTGGTTCTTACAGATGTGTGTGTGTGTGTGTATACATACATATACTTTAAAAGTCCCCACTGATTTTGTAGAGTAGCAAAGTTGGTAGATGGCCAGTAAATCCCGTTCTTGAATTGAGCCCCGAGTTCTCTGTAAGCGCTGACCACTAGGTGACACTGTTGCACAGCTCACATTGGTAGCTGTTTAAATCTGCAGTTTCATTCAACACGTTTGAGCGACTGTGATGCTTCGGAATCGGTCTTCATTTCGGGTCTGTGAGCAGTCTCCTACGGTCGGTTACAGAAGTTATACAGCTTGACTTAATCATGCACATGGATTAGTGCATTGAATTTTCCCTTGAGAGGGAAAATACTATTTCTTGTGTGTTGCCTTTGTAAGGTTGTAATTCCATCTGGAGATGCAGTAGTATTTTGGAGAGAAGACATATAAGATTTTTTATCTGGTCTTGTGCTGAATGTTTTAGTTAATTGGATAGCATTCACACAACCCTGGAATTTTGCATTCTAAAGTTGCTGGAAAGTTCGGAAAGTGTGTGCAAAACATCATCTGTAGGACTCCTTAAACTTAGGATCATAGAATAATTCAGGTTGGAAGGAACGTCAGGAAGTTTTTGATCCAACATCCAGCTCAAAGCAGGGTCAATTATGGGGTCAGCCTAGGTTAATCAGGGCTTTATCCAGTCAAGCTTTCTGTAGTCTCCATCCTTGGAGGTTTTCAGTCTCCCTTTTGGCAACTTGTTCCACTGCTTGAGTGTCTTCATGGTCTAAAGGGGTTTTTTTTCCTGATATCAAGTTGGGACCTCTCTTGTTTCAGCTTATGCCTGTTGTCTATTTTTTCCTTCCACTAACTGACAACATGAGTAGCCTGACTCCCATCTTCTTGGTTACCTTCTTGTAGGTATTGGAAAGCTGTTAGTAGATCCCCCTGAAGGCTTATCCTCCAGACTGAACAAGCTGTTCCCTTAGCTGCCTTTCACAGGGCATGTCTCCCTGATCATCTTGGCAGCCCTCTGCTGAACTTGCTCCAGCTTATCAGTGTCTTTCTCAGACTGGGGGGCCCAAAACTGGACACGGTATTCTAAATTTGGTCCAACAAGTGCTGATTAGAGAGGGATAATCACATTCCTCAGACTACTGACTACGCTACTGTTGATACAGCCAAGGATACTGTTGGCTGCCTTTGCTGCCAAGGCACACTCCTGGCTCATGGTTAGCTTGCTGAACATGCACCAGGACTCCCAGGTTCTTTTACACAGTGCTACTCACCAGCCTGTATCATTGCAAGGGCTTATCCTTTTCCAAGCCTTTGCATGTCCTGTTGAATTTCATATGGTTCTTGTCAGCCCTTTCACCTGTCTATTTAGGTATCTCTGCATGGCACTTCTGCCTTCAGGCATGTAGACTGTTCCATCCAATTTGGTGTCATCTGCAAACTTCATGGGCATGTATTTTTATGATGAAGTTACTGCCAAAAATATTGAAAAGAAACAGACAGGTTCTAGGATAGGCTCCTGTGGTACTCTATTTGTTACTGGCCTCCAGATACAGTACATGTTTACTACCTTCTGAGCCTCATCATCCAAACAGTTTACAACTCATCTAGTTGTCCATCCATCCAGACTGTAATATCCAAACTTGTATGTTGAGAGTATTACTGACAGTGTTGTAAGCCTTGCTACTGTCAAGGTAAATGGCATCCACCATTCTCCCCTGGTCCGCAAAGCCAGTCATTTTATTACAGGAGGGAGACAGATCAGTCAGGAGTAATTTAGACTTGATAAATCCATGCTTACAGTTACCAGCCACAACTTAATCCCTCTCATGCCCAGAAATGTCTTCTCAGAGGTTTTTTTACATTATTTTATCAGGGAACACAGTGAGGCTGAACCTGTGGTTTCCCAGACACTCCTTTTGGTCTTTTTTGCAAACATCTATTTTTCTCCAGTTGTCAGGGACCTGCCCTAATCACCAGGACTTTTCAAGGGAGGTATAGACTGGCCTTATGAGGACATAAGCCAGTTCTATTAGTGCTCTTGGCTGTGGCTCATTTGGTTCTGT